GGGTTAGGGTTAGGGTTAGGGTTAGGGTTAGAATTAAAGGGACAGTAGCCTCTAGGATTTTACTGCATACAACTGTACTTACTGTATAACAAATCGTCTATACCCACACGTATTTGTTACCAGATACCTAATTTAATTGTTATAATTATTTACACATCAACGCTACGAAATTTGAATGGCGCCATGACACCCGTGACCGTGCTGCCACCCCAAAAAAGTTGCGTATTTGACAATTTATTTTGCAGGTTACAGACCGAGGGCTAATCACAAAAGTGCAATTATATTTATACCTAAATGCTATTTAACCGAACGATATTCATTTTAGGGCAAATTTATCCATATCATAACTGAAACTATATGTCGTTTATAAGATATTACAATCCTTTTGCTTTTAATTGAATAAATAAGAAACACCCTCGGTCTGTAGCCCTTGGTTGGAAAGTGGTTTTGCGCAACTTATCAGATCGTGCGCTTTGAGTGGTGCCACCGTCGTTGTAATCAAACTGTAGTCGTTAGCTTTAAAACATTTTTTAATAATATTTCTAATGGTGATTAAACCATGAAACTTTTTATGTAGCGTAATTATAACCTAAATTAGCTGAAAATAACCCTAGAACCTAGAGTAAACTCTCCCTTTAAGATTGTGTTGGCAACATCCATATAAACATGAGGATACGCCACTATGATGAGATAATATAAGACACAAGGATGAGATAATATTGTGCTCTGAAGACGCACAGTATGATAGCAATAGCAGGACACTGCCACTGTACCGACAACAGGTAGTAAATGCTGTCAGCAGAACCGGTGGAAGTGTCATTAATTATAGCATCTGTTGCAGAGCAAGTTAGTAGGTTAGCGAGTTCAGTGACATTGTTTGACAGCAGCTACATATACGTTCAGTGACAGCCAGTGTATGCCTTCTGGGCATGGTCCAACCTAATTTAGGAAGCGACCTACAAAAAGTCATAGACAAACTCATGCGACAATCGAGTAAAAGTCTCACCACGAAGAAAAAAAGGAAAGGTGCCACTGCTATACTGACAGCTTGCGCTAATGGGACAAAACAGGGTGAGAAAACAGAATCGTGACTATAGAGAGGAAACACATGCTAAATGAGTATTTATCCTAACAGCGCCCTTAAAAACTTTCTTGCCAATTTCGTTCAATATGACATAACAACAGATGTTTAAATACGTATGTGTTAATTAACTATTAATTAATAAATAATAACAGAACATAGATGTATCCCTAACCTCTTGAAGAATTGTGATGAAGTCATTTTGAAACATTATAGCAAATTTATTCGAAATACTAATATATTGGTAGAATAAGTATTGTAAACATCTTATTATTCTGAAGCTTTTCAGCTCACAGAAGGTATATTAATACACCTATTAAACAATGCTATAAAAACATAGGTTAGCTCTGTTAGTTCTATGTCAAATAAAATATGGTAATACGTGCACAATGATGACCAACGACCACGCGATTATCCGATTATAGTCAATTATCAATTGGTTTGGTGTAACTGATAATAAACTACAAAATTTATGTCTTATTTATTTCTACAGTCGATTCCCATCATTAGGATGTGATACATGTGATTCGGATTACAAATTGTGATACTGGATAATGCGAGGTGCCGCACGATGCGAATGAAGATAATATTGATTCAGTGTTGATAATGTTGAATGAAGATAATGTTGATTCACTGTTGATAATGTTGAATGAAGATAATGTTGATTCAATGTTGATAATGTTGAATGAAGATAATGTTGATTCAATGTTGATAATGTTGAATGAAGATAATGTTGAAACTATGAAGGCACGCGGAAGAGCACAGACTCGCGCGCAGGCAAGCTGAATTCTCTCATGTGAAATTTTTTTATTAATTAATTAATTAAGTGGAAAATTAATTAATTAAATAATTAATTGGATCCGGATTATGCGAGCGTGCAGGTGGGGAAGACTGTGGTTGCCCCTTAGCCTGTGTTGCGTGTTTGTAAGTCTACAGCCAGCGCACGCACGGCTAGCGAAAGTGAACCTGAAACGTGCATGGTAACAAACACACAAACCCACAAACACACAAACCAACACTCAAAGACACGCCGGTGAAAACATAACCTCCGCCAAGCCCTGACGGAGGTAATCACATATAATGGATGACGCCAAACATTGCTACCTCCATCTGATGCACGTCTTTTCTTTTGAAGCAGCAAGCCGACAACTTTGTGCTTCACAGATGGCAGCCCAGACAAGCTGGTTATCAACTCAGCATGGGGTGCTGTGCCTGCGCTTTTTATTAGGGACAGCCAAACATGCGTGCACTCCACTAGCTCGACCAGATATGCTCACACGCTATAGGATACGCACGTGTAGAATGAAACATTTTCCTAATTGGCTGCCACTGTGATGCTGTGAACGGTGTCGGAGCCCGACTGCTTTCCATGTGCCACTTCTCACGTGAGTTGAGGATGTCTAGCAGCATCGCCATCGCTTTCTTGCTCAGCTCAATGTGATGCGATCCTACAGGGCAACAGATGTCAGATCATTACAACCTTAGTGTTACAGCGACCAACAATCGTCAGCGAATCAGGACCCTCGCGTTACAGCGAGCAACTAATGTCAGCGAATCAGACCCTCGCGTTACAGCGAGCAACTAATGTCAGCGAATCAGGACCCTCGCGTTACAGCGAGAAACAAATCGTCAGCGAATCAGGACCCTCGCATTACAGCGAGCACAAATCGTCAGCGAATAGGACCCTCGCATACAGCGAGCAACAATCGTCAGCGAATCAGGACCCTTGCATTACAGCTAGCAACTAACATCAGCGAATGTAGAACCCCTGCTGTACACAATCGCCGTCTATGAAATCAAACGAATGTGAGCCCGGTTCCAGCAATGACGCGTCTGCGATCAGCGAATCATACTTAAGCACAAGTCCAACGCTGACAGTACACGTCAGTGAACCGACAATCCTTGAGTCATGTTAAACCTTTCCTTGTACGTCAATACAGCTCTGAGCTTAGACGGCTGCAACACTAGTCATGATAGTAGAGCAATACTAGTGTCGTGCTAGGCGACAAAGCGAGTTCAACCACATTTACTAGTTCCTCTCAACCCCTTATTTACTCGATTTTTATGTCGAGCGAATGCGAGTGCCTTGACTTTAGAAACCAAATCATTGTATATGACTGTGTAAAGATATCTAGGTTGTTACTCCCTGGAACAAAATATCTGGTGCTGATCAAACTCATCAGCTGTGATAGCTCATATAGAGCTATATGATGTTATACACAGCTATCAGTGTGATAGCCCATACACAGCTATCTGATGCCATACACAGCTATCCATATGAGAGCCGACGGCACAATGATGCAACAGCTGGTTGCGACTTACATGATGTCTTTGGAGCATACATCGATGCGCCGAAGCCCCAGGCACAGCGCTCACCTATTGGCTGCACATGCTCGCACGTGTATGGCATGATATGGGTCAGTGGCAAGCTACTCCTAATGTTCCTTCGCCACACGACACGAAACGCAGTCACCACCCCGTATATAGGACATAAGTGACAGTGCCTAAATTTGCACCTCACCTCAGTGAAGTGCATATTTAGTTTGAAGTGTATAGCTCTATTAATTCCCTCCTGATGGCATACTGACATCCCCGGCACATTGACGTTGGATGTTGTGACATGATGACATGATAAATGTAGTTGACATGATGACATGATATTGTGACATGATACAATGATATTGGACAGAACATAATATTGAGGTAGGGAGCATATAGTTGAGCACAAGAACTAGGCTACGGAGACTGGTTAAGGCAACAACAACAATAACGAGTTGTTACGGATGGTCTACTGGTGATGATATGAAGTTCTGCGGTCGTACTGCTCACCTACTGCTGACAGTACCGGCTCCCACATCCGCCGTCACCGTGTAAATCACATCCACGTGTTCATTCACATGCTGCAGCACCTGAAACAAGCACACCACAATGACTCAACACTGCGTCACGGAGTCCCGAGAAAAAACATCCCACCAGCTGTCTCGCCTGAATCATAGATCATTAACCTTTGGTGGTTATATTATCACGAGTGTATAGAGAAATCTCTATATTATACACTCCTGATATTATTATAGATATTATTATTGGTTACTGGTTAGATTATATAATTAACCTTAAGCATTGGTTTACAGCAAATAGAACAACACCTCGCCAACTGTTGTTGCGGCTTCTTTATGGGCACTTAACCTGGCATGCAATAATCTTGCCGTAAGTTAAATGAATGCACAGAGGCAGCGTTGCATGTCCGTACCCGGTTCTCCAGCAACGTTGGGTTCCATAATGGCGCCTTGGATATATCCTGTATCACTAGCCTGAAGATTTCTTTGGCACTCGTTGCTATTTCTGCCTGTAGAGTGAGAAACAGTCGCTATCAGTTGGAAGATAAATACACCTATTGAAGTGGCGGTGAGAGCAGGGTGCCATAGAGTTTTAAGCAGTGTAATGAGACACTTGCAGTAGCAAAACATTGTGGTAGGGTTATATAATGTCCCATGGTGGATGACTCGTGGGAAACCATTCAACTATATTATCAAGATACTAGTTTTCGATTTTTTTATTATTTTTTTATTAATCTATTTAACACCGTGATGAGCACAGACCTCCGCCAAGACAGCTGAATTCTTCAGTAAATATTTTTATTATAATTAATTAATTAAGTGGAAAACATAATTAAATTAAATAATTAATTGATCGCGAGAAATTAGTGCGAGCGTGCAGTGGTGCGAAGACTGTGGTTTGCCTTAGCTCTGGTTGCCGTGTTGTAAGTTACAGCCAGCCGCACTAGCGAAAATGATGCAACTGAACACTGTGATACGCTGTAACAAAACACACAATAACCCACAAACACACTAAACCAAACACTCTAAAGAACGCCGGTGTAACATAACCTCCGCCAACCCCTGACGTGATTGATTTTTCGAAATCAGATTAATTTGGTAAAATCACATATAATGAGATGATCGCCCAACATTGCCTCCTCCAAATATCTGATGCACGTCTTTTCTTTTGATGCAAGCCTCGACACACTTTGCTGTTCTTCACAGATGGCTAGCCAGACAAGCCTGTATCAACCCAGCATAGCTTGTTGCTGTTACTGCTTTATTATTTAGGACAGTCAAACATTCGCACTCCACTAGGCTCGACCAGATATTGCTCACACACATCCATAGGATATCGCACCTGATTAGGAATGAAGCATTTTTTCCTTGCTGCCACTCTGATGCGTGAACCGTAATTTTTATTTGATTTATATTCAATTTTTTCTTCGAATTGATTTGTTATTATTTCGGCCAGCTACCGACTTGCTTTTCCATGCTGCTACTTCTGCACGTGATGTTGAGGATATCTAGCAGGCGGATTGCCCTGCGTTCTTTGCTCAGCTCAATGGTGAGTCGGAAGCCGTAGCCAGGCACAGCATGTGCAGGATGATGACAACGTTGTGAGGTGGCTAGGAGGAAAACATCGTCAGCGAATTCCAGGACTCTCTCGTAAGCTGAGCAACTAATTGTCAGTCGAATTCAAGGACCATACGCGTTTATACAGTGAGCCAGACAATCTGTCAGCGACATCAGTCCCTCGCTCGTCTACAAGCGAGCCAACAATCTTGTCAGCGAATCAGGACCTCGCATTACACTGCGAGCCAACGAATCTGCTAGTCGAATCAAGGACCCATCGTATTACAGCGGAGCAACATATCGTCAGCGAAATCAAAGGACCCTCTCTATGTTCTTACATGCGAGCAACAATCGTCAGCGATCATATGACCCTCGCTCTACAATTGCCTTCTATTGAATCAACGAAACGTCTGCGACATCAGGCGAAATCCATACTTAACCTACAGTCCACGTCTGACCATACACGTCTAGTGCAACGATTCAATCTTGTAGTCACTTTAAACCTTTCCTTGTACGTATCAATACAATCTGAGTCTTATGACTGCTGTCAACACCTAGTCATGATAGGGTATAGAGACAATACTAGTGTCGATGCAGGCGACAAGCCGAGTTCAACCAAATTTACTATTCTTCTCAACCCCTATTTACCTCGTTATTTTATTGTCGATGCGAATGCTGAGTGCCTTACTTTAGAAGTACCAAATCATTGTTATTGACTGTGTTTAAAGATTTATCTAGGTGTACTCCGCCCTCTCTACTGGAAACTAAATATCTTATGTGTTCTATCACTAAACTAGATCCAGTGTTGAGAATAGTTATATAGAGCTATATATGATGTATAGCATCGGACTATCCAGTATGTTGAGTATAGCCCTTATTTATTACACAGCTCGATCTGATGCCAACACAGCTATCAATATGTAGCCCGACCACACTGATGAACTCAGGAATCTGGTTCGACTCAATTAGCGATATGAAGTCTTTGCTGAGCAATACATCGATTTGCCGCGAAGCCCAGGCACTGCGCTTCTATTTCGCTGAAATCCTATGCTCTGCACGTGGGATTTATTATTGGCATGATTAATGTCGGTCTTTTTTAGTGGCAGCTCTCCTAATGTTCCTTCTCCCCACCGACACGATATAACCTTTATTTTTTATTAAAGTTCACCACCCCGTATACTTAGGACATAAGTGAACCATGCCTAATTATCGCAACTCAACTCTCTTTATATAGTGACGTTCTGCATAATTTATCTTAAAGTTGTTATCTCTATTTATTCCCTCGCTGATGGCATGACGAATCCCCAGGCCAACTGACGTGATTGTGATGATTGTGACATGATGACATGGAATATTGATTTGACATTTGATGACATGATATTCCTGACTGATGACATGATATTTCTGACATTGCATAACATAACTATTGAGGTTAAGTTTGTGAGCATATAAAGTGACACAAGACTAGAGCTTACGTGATCCTGGTTAAGATTGTGTTGGCAACATCCATACAGAAGCTATCGAGGATACTTAGCCCACTTATGCCACTGAGAGTTAAATATAAGACACTAAGGATGAGATGATATTGGTGCTCTGAAGACGCTACGATAGTTATTAGTAGCAATAACAGGATCTACTGCCACATTTTGTACGACAACAGATTTCATTAATATAGCCAAACTGTTGCAGAGTAAAAGGTTAGTAGGTTAGCGAGTTCGTGCATTTTTGGACTTAGCAGCCTACAGATATACGTTCAGTGTACAGCAGTGTTAGGCCTTCGCGGCGACTATTGGTTCCACACCTAATTTAGCAAGCGACCTATCAAAATTGTAATAGACAAACTCATGCCGACAATCGTATGTGTAAGAAGTTCTCACCACGAAGAAAAGAGAAGGAAGGAGATGCTCCCACTGCCCCTAGTGACTGACGCGTGCGCTAAATGGGACAAAACAGATTGCTTTTTAACGTGAAGAAAACAGAAATTCGTGACTATTTAGAGAGACAACTCATGCTAAAATAAGAGTATTTTCCTAACGCACCTTTAAAATCATTTCTTTGCCATTCTTCAGTCAATATTGACATAACAACATATTGTTTAAATACGTATGTGTATAACTTATTTAAATTAATATAATAATAACAGAACATAGATGTATCCCTCAACCTCTTGAAGAATTGTGAATGAAGTCTATGTTCATAGAATACAGGTGAATATAGCCAATAATGATATTCGAGATTTATTTAATACTAATATATTGGTTAGAATAGTCATTGTAGACAGCGATCTATTATTCTGAAACTTGCAGCTGAACTCAGAAGGATATATTATATATAACCTCCCATTAAACAATGCCTATAAAATACATAGGCTACGCTTCTGTTTAGTTCTATGTACTAAAATAATACTTATGGTAATATTTTACTGTGCACAATGATGACCACGATCACTCGGCTGATTATCGCGATTTATAAGTTCAAAATATCAATTGGTTTTTGCTAGATGATACTGATAATAATACTACAAAAATTTGCAGATACTGTATCCCAATCTAATTAGGATGACTGCATACACGTGATTTCGGTATATTTCAAATGTTGATACTGGATATATTGATAATCGATTTGGTGGGGACCGCACGATTTTAATGTAGATAATATTGATATCCAGTGTTGATTAATGTTGGATTGAATGTGATAGTGTTCAATGAAATAATGTTCTGATTCATTACATGTTATACTGTATGAATGATAATGTGATTCACTGTTGGATAGAAGTTTGGAATGAAAGAGTTAATGTAGGATTCAAATGTTGAGTTGATAATGTTTGAATGAACGATAATGTTGTCATCATGTATAATGTGAATGAAGATCAATCGATGATTCAATGTTGATTGAGACTAATGTTGAATGAAGATAATGTTGATTCTCACTGTGGATAAATGTTGAATGAAGATTAATGTTGATTCTATGTTGGTTAAGAAATGTTGAATGAAGATAATGTTATGATTCAATGTTGAATATGTTGCAATAAAGATAATGTTTGATTTTAATGTTGGAATAGTGTTTCAATGCAAAATATATGATGATTGTTCAATGTGATATGTGAACAATGTTGAATGAATTATTAATGTTGATTTCTACTGTTGATAATGTGAATGAAGTAATGTGATTTAATGTTGATGATAATGTCGAATAAAATAATGTTGCATTCACTGGTTGATAATGTTGAATGCATCGATAATTGTTAAGATTCAATGTTGAAATTTGAATGAAATAAGGTTGATCAATGTGATAATGTGAATAAAGATAATTGTTTATTCAATGTTGAATTGATAATGGTGATGAAGATAAGTGTTGATTCACTGTTGTGATAGGTTGAATGATAGATAAGGTATAGATTTCAAATGTTGATAAGGCTTGAAATGAAGGATAATGATGAATCAATCGTTGATTGATAAGTTAGAATGAATGATAATGTTGAATTATCACTGTTGATATACTGTTGAATTAAGATAATGTTGATTCAATGTGATTGCTAATGTTGATATTGTGAATGATATTTGAATGCAGATAATGTTGATTCAATGTTGATAATGTTGAATGCAGATAATGCAGATTAGATATTGTGGTACGGGATAAGGCGAGGTGCCGTGCGATGTGAATGGAGATAATGTTGTGCTTACAGCAGCTGATCTATGCGATCCGGCGCCGTGTCCGTGTCCGTGCGCACGATGAGGACCAGGCTCTGCATCTTCAAACTCTCCCTCAGACTCTGCAACAGAAGAGCCAGTGCGTCGACATGCATGTCTGCGCCTACAAATGCTCCCCGATCGTAGGTATACACATCCATTCACAGATCACTGTTTGATCACAAATCACAGAGCACAAGTGATGCACTGTTTTATTTTCTTTGCCCTGTTTAAAGATTTAAGGAAATCTTGCCCTAGTGGCTAGGCTGACCATGGGCAGGGCTCCCTCTGGATGTTTTAAAGGTTGAGCCAAGACTTGAGCCACCAAAGTTATTTTTTAGCCACCGATGAAAAACTACAGCCACAGTTCAGTTTATCGTATGTGCTAAAAAAGGCATAAACAGGGGATGGGTATGGGAAAAAAAGGTGTGCGAAAACATTTTACGACACGACACTAAAATTTGACAATTTCATCATTCAAACGTAAGTTTGTGAGCAGTGAAACCATTCGCAAATTTGTAATTGCCACTTAGTGTAGTAAAATCGCTACTGTTATTTATTTATCGCATTTTGCAAAGGTGGCAAATGTCAGCGGAAGCCCTGCAAAGGTATGCACGTGACATCCATGCAAAGATCAAGTGATGCATTGTTTCACTTTCTCTGCCATGTTTAAAGATAGGAAATCATGCACTAGTGGCTAGGCTGATCTCATCAATATTGAAATATACTAGTCATTTTGGTAGTCTGTGATACTATGTCTTGCAGACAAGTGATCCTAGCATATCTGGTATCTAGTAGCATGTCTGATAGATATGTGTTAGTATAACGTATGGTAGGTATGTGCTTCTATGTCTTGTAGATGTATGTGTGCTGATATATCTCATATATGTGTGCTAGTTTAATGTCAGGTAGATGTGTGATACTAGCATATCAGGAAGATGTGTCTGGTAGACATGTGATATACTATGTTGTGGGTTGATCTATGGAAGACCTGCAATACTAGTATGTCTTGTAAGTACTTACCACTGGATTCAAATGGTGAGTAGTAACCCCCGGAGGCTGTTTCTCCAGAATGTGATGAACTGTGGTAATGGTTAGGTTGGACTGTGCCCGGCAACAGTGGTGCCCTCTCTATGGAGTGCTGTGCATCTAAGAACTCATATCTACAACAAGTTTTAATCACAACAATATCATGATTCAGGTATGCACCTGTATTGTCACAGTAAAGCTGCTAATACGTGCATTACCGCAAAAACATAGCAGTACCCGTGAATTCGAACTGTTTATACCTTTTCTCAGTTGGAATGACCTTGAAATCTAGAAACCAGACTTCGATCCAGCCAATGACAAAGCAGCAGACCAACAGTACGTAATCCAGCGTGGCAGCCGTCGTGTTGTCCTCTCTAAACTAAAGCAATACATCACGAGGAATTAATGTGTGCATTCATCTGCCAGTGCTTATTAGATGTGACGACGCAGACGGTAACAGTAAAATCACATGAGAGCAGGTGTAAACACCTAGTTATACTTAGGGTCCCTATATACAGAGAGTTGCGCCATGACGAGTCGGAAAACTATCGGTCACGTGGTCGCTGGACGACATGTTGTTTCCAAATAGATACGCACGGCTATGGCCGTAAGAAAGTGTACAATTAAATTATCATATGGCGCGAACAATTTGAGTTACATTTCTAGAAATCTAGATACACATAGACACATGTCTTAGCTATAATCTCTGTAAATTTTGAGTTTATTGAAGCACGATTAGTCTAATTAAATACTACGGAATATTGTACAGCGTATCCATACAGCGCTGTACTTAAGCGGCAGCAGTGTGAATCCATTTGGAAACAACATGGCGTCAAATCCTGAGTTGGCGCAACTCTCTGTATACAGGGACCCTAGTTATACTCACGTCATAGAAAAATACTTTCGCAAGAAGAAAAGCTGAGGTCACGGTTGTCGTCAACTAGAACCAAATAATCAAAGAATATATATCATCTGAGGACTGACCATTATGCAGTTGCTTACATGAATTAAAAACAATAAACACACAATTGTAGACAATAAAAGATAAAAACAATTCTAAAACTTTTTTTAAGCAACCCATTTTTCCACTGACAGCAAACTCATCAAACATAAAAATAAATGTTAATACTTACTGCAACAACCCACCAGTGATTCAGCTTGAATAGCCCATAGGCAAGAGTAAGCGATATAAACCTCCCCACAGACAGCATCTGAAATATTAAAATATATATTTAAGTGGACGAAAATTAAGAGCATCTAAAATCACTGATAAAATACAAAATAAAATATAACTGACAGACTAATGGAGCAATTCATTGCTATCTCTCATCTTACAGAGTTTGCTTTGACTTACCACATTATCAAACATCGAAGTCTGGATACTGTAATGTGCAACTTGACGTAAGAAGATATCATGGATGTTCATCCCTGACAACTATGAACAAGTCACACCATTAATACAGCTAAATCAATCACTAGATCATCTTAATAAACAAGATGCAACAAATTACTTATCTCTCTATAGGTTGCCTTTATGCATGCATACACTATGCTACTATACGCTATTATAAACTGATACAATCCATTTTACAATTTGATATTGCCAAAAAGATTGCTTCTGCAATAGGTATAGCGTGACCTACCTGTGAGTATATGATCCATAATAGGAAGATAAAGATCATGTCAAATAATGTGATCAGACAGAAGGTGCGTCGAACTGGTGACAAGTATCGACCATCATAGCTAGACAGACTTGCAGACTGCATTATAGCTGCAACAAACAGTGTCAACCACTTGCTTCATATTATGAATCACAATATATCCTTCCCACATGCAAGTTTACGACAATAAAGATAATTATCTACATGTCAGGTTGCTCATAATTGCCATAAAAGCATCTGGCAAAGCGACCTGAAACATTAAAGGATGCGATATGTCTCATTATTGGACAATTATTATGATAACTGTCTCATTATTGGATACAAATATCACATTTTTAAAACACTTTAAATGACGGCACACTGACATGCACATTCGACATTCCTATCAATAAGAGTGAGAGCATAGTGTCGAGCTGCATTTACAGTTTAATTGGGCTTAAATTGAACTGCAAGCATTAATAACGTATAATTGAAGCTCTTACACGTAATTTCAATAGGGTGTTTGTTGGTTTGCTGGTTTCATTCAGTGTGCTACTTCTCACACTGATAACTATATTTATTTTGAGTCTGTGACCAATTTGTCTTAGACTAGCCCATGTGCAACTACTATATTCTAAACTACAACTACCGCCACTATACGTACATTAGATTACCACCCAGTACACCTGCCAAGCCACCATGTTATCTGACAGGTCACTAATTACTCATACACCAGGATCTTCTCTATACTCTATCCAATCCATCACCGCAGCTGCTGCCTATCCTCCGAAAGCAGAGGCCTTCGGACCTCTTAGTCTTACCTCACCCAGACCATGCAGAGCAGCTCGATCTGTTTACTAGTCACTGTAGATACTCACTGTCAGTAGGTGCTATGTTGCCATTGACTGTTCTCGCAGCATCCAGAGATTGTACATCCGCATGGTACTGTCAACAAACACACAGTTACGCACACTGGCCATTATAAATTTGGCATCAATTCTGCTCCAATTTTGGCACAGTAATGGCTTTTCCTACCATGATGCTATACACCGACTATCACGAGCCTAGGTCGAGCCGTTTAGATTTCTGCCGCAATTCTGCATTTCCGCCCTATACCTTAAGTTAAGGAGGGAATGTTCCCCCTTCTTTTACACCGCTTGACCTTTGACCTTTGACCCCCAGCTTCGACATCCCAACTCGTTTTCGGATTCCCCCCCCCACGTCCCGAATATCGTGACCGTACGTCGAGCGGTTAAGATTTGTGCCCAACTGTTGACGGACGGACGCACGGACGGACAATCATGACTACAAGCTGCATCTGACTACGTCAGATGAGCTAATAAAAAGGGAAACACCGATCTAAAGAGTAAAGGTTCCCGTTCATACATTAATACATACATGATAGCATCACGATAGCATTGATACAGTTACACAGGCGGCCCCAGCATCACACTGACCAAAGACTCACTATCACAGCCTATAAAATACCATATAATAGGCATTAATGCGCATATAAGTTATAGAAAATTGTGATATAAAAATGTAGTATTATAAAACAACAATAACTTACAACATTAACAGACATAGTATTAGTTTCTTAAATAGTCAATAAAAGGAAAGCTGTCGTTATATACACAGACATATCTGAGCGTAGTGAACTGCTATTACGATCACCTGAGATGTAGTAGATGGGAAACTTCTATTTTAGCGAAGGTAGATTCCGTTGGAAAGACTGTCGACCACTGCCGACGAACCAATCTAAATGTGGCCGCTAACAAGGAGCAGTATTTAGAGAAGGAAGCAAATTGATGCAGTACTTGCCACACCAAAGACGCCATGTTTGGTTCATTCACAGCCGCGGTTATGCAAGGCGCGTTAGATAGATATGTTATTATGATATGGTTTGCTAGTATTATTTCGAAATATTTAAGGCAATACTATTAGAAAATATATGTAAATAAATATTCAAAACTGATATTTCTAACCCGGCTGCAATATTGATGATGGTTTTTGTTTTTATTTGATTTCTTGATAGGTGCGCATTATTTATCTGAAAATTCCTCTCTTTGATGCCTATCTCTTTCGTTAGAGGGCGCTACGAGGTTGTGTAACTTGTGTTATTGGTGTCGTATCTGTGGTCGGATCATTGTATATCAAGACGTAACATGGGCTCGTTGATTGTAGTAGATTAATACGATCTTTGTTTTAGATTAGTAAGCAGCGCTGGTATATCTTCACGACAGTTCATGAACGTTTGGCTAGTCAATTACTGAATGTTGAATTTCAGTGTCAGTGTCAGTGCCAGTGCAGTGGCAGTGCCAGTGCAGTGGCAGTGCCAGTGGCGCTCATGATATAGTCATACTCATAGGGTCTATGTCCCCCAGGGCCAGGGTACTGCCGGAACGTACCCTGGGTACGGTCCGGTATA